TATAAAATAAACACGAAAAGCACGACAAAAATAAAACGAACAAGAGCCTTGTTGAATAAGTGAAGGTCATGAAAACCCAACCCACCTCTGTCTTTGGGGAATGAGAGAACGCTCCATTTTTTAGAGGTTCTGAAAGATATGGAAATAATGCTTTAAGGTCTCTGATGTTTATTGATTATTAGCACATCTACTCCCATCTACCTTAAGAAGGTTCTCTTTGCTATTGGTATTTCTCCTCTGCTTAACAGTGGTGCTAGTGAAATGGACTTTACCCGAACTCCTTCAACTCGGACAGCCTCCATACCTGCAAGAACTCAACGCTGAGCCTAAGTGGCAGGATCGCATGATTCGGGATCCTATTGCGGCAAAATTACATACTTCGTTGTTAGGTTTGGGTAAATTTAAATCTAAAATAATTAAGTCCGAATGATCAAAAAATATGTTGATTATGTATGGTCATGTTACATCTATTAATTGCATATTAACATAATTTTTAATATAACCATTGAGTTGTAAATATATTTTAAAAGTTAATAACTTTTGTATTTTTTATCAGTTTTACATATGTAATATATTAAATTAATCATCTCTTGAAGTGCTTCGATTTAATATCCCTATTGTATTTATAAAAAAATAAATTTTATTTATCTTTATAACAATAATAAAATTATTTTTAACATTAATTAGAAAAAATTATTTTTTAAAATTATTTATCAATTAATATATTTATATTTCAAGGAGTTGTATGATATAAGTTATAAAAATTATTATAATATAACTCATTTAAGTCGCACAAGTAACAAGTATCATTTTAAAAATATATAATAAAATATATTTTTTTGTAAAAAAGTAAATAAAATTTAAAATACTTTTTCTCATTAATTATAAAATTTAAGATTTTTTTAACAAGTACATGTGTAATACACAGGTATTGTACTAGTATATTTTGAATCAAAATGTCATACTTTAAAAATAATATAAGTGAAATTATGACATATTATAGCATATTTATGCATTTTTTTATATATAAAAAAATTATAACGGATTGATCATTCTAACAATTGTGTCATGATGACCTTGTATGGTAGTCATCGGTTAGTTGTTAGCTGTTAGCTGATTGTAATAACTATTTTGACTAACGGATTGTATCAACTGGTTTAACCAGCGGATAGTAATAGCAGTTTTTAAAAATATGTTTAGTAAAAGTAGCTCATTGATTCGTAAAAATATATTTGGTATTATTAAGTTGAAAATTACTTTTATATAAATATACATTGGTTATATTCGTTTAAATATTTATGTTAACAATAAAAGTATTTTTGATATAATAACTATTTTCAAATTATTTTTTTAATATCTTTTATAGTAAAAGTAATAAGTAAATAAAAATATAAATAAACATTAAAATAAATGGTTTCAAAATACCAAAATAATATTTGAAAATTTAATGACAAATAATATGTTATCTTCCCAATAAAAAATATGTTATCTTCCCAATAAAAAAATATTTTTTTTTTTCACACGTAGTAAATGATTCTGTAAAAGAATCCCATACATTTGTTTTGTTAAAAATAAAAATGGGTTTAAAAAAATGAAGAATTCAATGATTTTTTTAAAAATAAAATATAAAAAGCGTCAAATCTACCTTCATTAGTAGTGAAAAGTAAATATAAAAATAAAAATAAAAAGTTTATCCAAATTAGATAGCAAAGTAAAGAAATAAATGAAAAATTTATCAAATCCGTTATTGCAAAACGCTCCAAATTGTAGCGTTTTCATTTTCAACTTATTCACCTAATAAGCTAAAACAAAAAACTATTTAACCAAACATCAATTTTAGCTGTTTTGACAAAATAAAAAGGCTAAACTCCCTCAAAAAGCTAAATTCTTGTCAAATCGCTATGAAACAAACAAGGCTAAAAAAAA